TCCAAAACACGTACAAATGACAACAGAAGTGCTCCAGGTTTCTAGGGCGCAGTGTTGAGCTTTTGTTACCTAGTGGCTACACAAGCCAGGAAGTATCAACAACCGGATTTGGTGTGTGTTAGTAACAGGTAAATGAACTTTTTTTTTTAATTATTTGAATAAATATGAGTGCTTGTCTATAAATACACAAACAATACACACATGCTTTCAATTGTGTAATTTAAGTGATCTGGGTAGCTCTGTTTTGGAAGTTCAGTTAACACTAGAAATGTGTTTTGGAGTTTGTACGTGCTTTAGAGTTTGTACGTGATTTGTCTCTAGGGGCCATATATAAACATATATAAATAAAACCACTTTTTTTACATTAGTAATTCCTTTTCTGCAAAATTTTATATTATTGTTAATGATTAAATAATTAAAGCAACAAAACAACCTGAAGAGCCGGTTCGGAGCCGAAAGAGCCGGCTCTTTTTAGTGAGCCGAGCCGAAAGAGCCGGATCTGTAAAAAGAGCCGGAAATCTCATCACTATTAGAAAGTTCAAGGCCCGCCGGTCGCGCAATCTGCCTGCGCATGCGCATCCGAACGACTGACCCCCTCCGTCCGCTGCCTTTGGCGAGGTTGCCATAGTGACGTGTTCTAACGTCTCTCTCTCTCTCTCTCTCTCTCTAGTATTATCATTATGCTATATTTTCTAATATATATAATAATCTCAAAAGTAATGCCTTGAAGCAGAAAATAGTAATACTTTATTCAAATGTAAAACTAAAGTACAGTATTTGAATGTGTGCATTGTGTCAACTGTTTGTTAACTCACCATATTCATAAATGTCTTAATAATAAATTTCATATTCTATCACCACATTATTTGTGATCAGTGGGTTTGCGGGGTTGGGGGTGTTGGGGGTAGGCTCTTTAGGCTTTGGCCCCCACACCTGCCACCAGTATATTTTTAAGTATTTCTAACTTTTATTTGAATATTCAGTTTCCTACCATCTTCTCTTAAAGGGTAATCACCAGGTAACCCGCCCTCCCCGTTCGCACACACATGCACACAAAGAAAACACACAAAGAAAACACACAGTATAATTCACAGCCTTGTTATAGTGAATAAATATTTATGCCATTTTACACCATCAAGCTTTTGTTCTTTAAAGAACCATTTGTAATAGCTAAAGAACCATCTACAAAATAAAAAGGTTCTTTGACGTATGATGGTTCTTTAAAGAACCACGAAGACATCTGAAGAACCATAATTTTTCTGAGAGTACACTCTGCCATGACACCAGTAAGTCAGAGGTGCCAGCTTGATGCCGGATCCCGGCCAGGCCTGCTTTCTACGAGCCTGGGCCACATAAACCAAACCACAATCGAGCCAGATGTGGCATGCCATCACATAGACAGTGCCATCGATGCCAGACCTGGCCCATATCTGGATGACATACGTCTTATCAAGCCAGAAGTCAGCCAGCAGTGCCGGCTTGATACCAGATACGGGCCAGACCTGCTTGCTATGTGGGATGAGGTCTGGTTAATATCAGGCTCCTGCAGAAGGTCTGTGAGTTTCATGATTAATGCAAGTGATCACAGAAAACAAGGTGCTTTTCCAGTTTAATGTGCTAACGTTAGCCAACATTGTTTTAAAATGAGAACGCGCTAACTCGGAACTGACACGACTCCAGAGTTCTGACATCCGAGTCTTGAGGTATCTGAAATGCAGCATCAAACCCTGGTGGGGTTTGCTGCTGCTGTCACCTTGCAGGTGGTCCATAGAGTTATGGATACTCCCTGTAGTCATGTTAGATGTTAGCATCCCATGAGCCACACGAATCACCAGGGAGGGATGTCAGGATGGATTCCAGGTGGACTTCAGAAACAGCTTCAAGCTTCTAAAATAGAAGAGCAGCTGCTTTCAGCTCAGTTGCATCACCTGGATGACTGAGACCCCACACAGACAAAGATCAGTTATACTCCTAAAGCTACTTTGATAGTGGTGACTGTCTGTGACCATCTGTGGAACAATGCATTTTATTCCAAAATAAATTTAAAAAAAATTGCACATCATGTAAACCCATCAGATTTATAGTAATAATAATAATAATAATAATAATGATGATGATAATCTAATAATCTGTGTTGAACTCTGAAACATTTCTTTTAGGATCGAAGAGGAAACTTAGTGAAACTGATTCAAAGGCAGAGGAAATGAAATCTGAAGCTGGTGAGTGAACATACTAAAAGCGTGACACTGTCTGCTTTAGTGTTAGACAACCTGCTGAACTGCTTCTTGCTGGGATGGTAGACTTGCAAATAACGGCTGAACTGTGCTTGATATTTACCTGTTTGAAGGCGGGGTTATGATGATATGTGTGTGTTACAGGTAAGAGCAGTGCTGCAAGTGATTCTTTAGATGTAGAGCAAGAGGCTGAAGGCAAAAATGATGGGAAGTTGACAGCGAAAGGTCAGCTCTGTGAAACATGTTAACACTTCCTCCAGTAACAAGAGAACAGTATGAAAACTCACCGTTTTATTTCTTTTTTATAGACGAACCGGGGAGATTGCCTCAAAAGGTAGCAGTTATTAAATATGTCAGTTAGGTTAATGAAATATTTCACATCATTTATCAAAGCACCTCCAGGAAACAACCACACATCCATAAACGTTAAGTTTTTCCACACTTCCATCATGACAAACTGAGCATTTACACACAGTTTCTCTTCCAGGACAGGAAAAGCCAGTCATGGGTGAGCGGATTTCTCTTAATTTCCTTTAAGTAAAACAACAGAAAATATTTTTCCTTAGACCTGATCACTAGATCAGGAATGAAAAATAAACTCCTTTATTTTGGTGTATTTCCTGTTCACTGTTACCTGAATCCTGTTCAGGTAACAGGAACAAGGCACAAGGTAACAGGTACAACTTTTAGTAGGACTCTCTGTCATAGCAAGGCAGCGGTGGAAATAAAACCATGCAACATCCATGTATTTACAAAGGTAACAACCAGGTAATATTGTAGTGACTTTTAGCTGACTAATGTTAGAATGAATTCTGTTTGATGGGACAACAGAGCTGTCAATGTGTGAACAAATATAAAAATCAGTAATATTTTGGTCAAAACCTGCTAGGCCACTATCAGGGCTATTACTTTTGTCTCTCTATCTGCCTCCAGAGGAAATCCATCCATGATGTAAAGATCAGCGGTGACCTTGGAAACAAACCCATAGCTGGCGAAGTTGTGGCGAAATCTGGTCTGCGTACATATAAAACCAAAAAAAGGGAGAAGAAGTTTTTCTTTTACCTGGGAGTGGCTGATGATACAGGCAGCATTAAAGTGATGGTGTATGGAAGAGAGCGCTATCAGGACATCCAGGAGAAGAGCTGCTACCTGTTCAGAGAGGTCATCATGGACAAAAATGTCATGAAAGTGACCAAATTAAGCAAAGTATCAAAGACACCACCTATTGATGTTCCAGAGAACCTGGAGATGGAAGCTCAGATGCTCGTTTATTCCCAGACTCCAGTTTGCTCCATCGGACAGGCCATCGGATCAGAGGAGAAGACATCAGTGAGTGTTGAAGGAAAAGTAAGAGAGGTGAGTGTGAACAGATATTCTGCAGAACATTTGGGCGGCCATTTCCTCACAAGCTCAGAGGGGTGTGCTATGAAGCCAGATTAATGTGTTAGTGAGGTCAGCTGAGCCTGAAGTCTGAGTTTTCAGTGTCACAACAGTGGTTGTATTTTTACCGGGATGAAGCACTATCACTAAATTATGCTGAACACATCACCTGGTCTGGAGCAGCTGATGTTCAGAGTGTTGGTTTACAGTAACTGGAAGCTCCGTGTTTTCTTTGCAGTATGTTTAATGTGTGATGAAGTTACGGCAGCAGATTGCATGTATTCATATTCACATGGTGATGCATTAAATGTATAAATGTTTTATTTTGTTCACTGCTGCTGGAACACTTAGAAACTGACCAGTTACAGTTTTATATTTATTACCTAGAATTCCTGTTTAAACAAGAAAATTCCTCCCAGTCTGATCTGGTAACAGCCTGAAGAGATTCCCAAGTCTCATTTGACTTTAAACTTTGTGTAGTTTCAAGTCTTGGAGCTCTACTGTGCAGCTGTCACATTATAAACAGGAGCACTGAGTGGTGTTATAAATATATTAATACATATGTGCCTCTTTTACTCTTCTGTGTGATTGTGATGATCGAATCACCTGAATGATGATTTTCTGAAGCATTACTTTTGTCTGATTTGTGGCAACAGTTTATTGTAAGGCAAAGACGCTATAATACTACAGAGAAAACCTCAACACTCAGGTGACCTCATCAGAGTAAACACCTGCTCAGTGTGACAGTAAAAACTCTCCTTTGACAGGAAGAAACCTTGGTGACTCAGGGAGGGGTGGGGCCATCTATTGTAACCGGCTGGGGGTGAGGGGAGGAAGTAGGTGGTGCTTGATCCATTTTGTGCAGAAGAGTCACATGAGGTATTAATCACGTGTGTTTACCTAAGTATGCACGGAGCTCGAGGCGGAGAGGCAGAGTTAACAGTTGTGATACCTGTTATCACAGACTGGTTTTTCTGGCTTTATTGAGCCAGCAAACAAAAAGAAAGCCTGACTGTAGTCATGTTTAGTGTTTAGACTTATTATTAGAGTCCAGAAGTTTGGATTGTTGAAATATGATGAGCTTTAAATTCCTTTTAAACTTGAACCGAGTGAAGAGAAGACCTGTCGATATCTCCAGCTCAGCTTAAACTACAGCAGGCTGATGAGCTGTGTGGATCTTCTGAAAGATCAACTCACCTTCACAGCAGGACCTCTGTACAGTCACTTTTCCAACTATAAGTTCAGCTGCTGTTAACTGAATAGTTAGAGCTTCAACCTTTCATCTAAATATGTTCACTTCCATCTCTAACAAACAAACAACACAAAAACCAAACAGTTAAAGTCCATCTTTCAGATTCAGTCTGTGATCACCGATTATGGGATTTGAGTCTCTGTATCCTGAGTTGTTCTCATGTTGTTGCTTTGTTCAGATTGGCTCCGTTGAAACCATCAAACTGAAGAACAGACAAGGAAAGAAAGACAAACAAGATTTTAAACTTGAAGACGACACCAGTTCAATCAGGATCACCTTGTGGGGTGAACACATCAAGCATCTCAGAGGAGTATCAAGTGGAGACGTTGCCAGGGTGACCAACGTAAAGACCAATCACTTCCAGGGTTCAGTATCGCTGAACTCAACAGATTCCACCAAAATTTTAAAGGTAGCTGCTGATTTTAATCCAGGCAACGTGTGACACACAGACTGCAGTAACACGGGTATCTTTGATGACACTCTCAGCTCTGTACAACTCTGTTTAACCCCCGACGCTCTTATTCTGAAAGTTTATTTTCCACTAACCAGCAGGTCATCAGCAGGATTAGAGACTTGCTGAAGGCAGCCAGTCATATTTCGCTGTCATTTACTTAAAAGCAGCACTCAGGAAGAATCTGGTCCTGGTCTTAATGGCAGTGTGGGGTTCTTCTGAACCAGTCATCGATGCCTTGTGAGCGCTCTGTGGTTCTAAATGTCGGGCTACCTGTCGACCTGTTTAGCTTTTTAGCTGTTTATGAGATTCTCAGCCTGTCCTGACATTTGTGTGCAGGTTCAGAGTGCTGCAGTCCAGAGCGTCACCATCGAGATTATCGGGATCATAAGAGCCAGCGAGACGCAGACTGAGCTGGAGGCGGAGCTCAGCCATGACAACGAGGTGCAGCAGTTTGAGGTGGCTTCGTCCCTGCTGGCTGGAGCGTTGGGTGTCAGCCTGAGGGGCAGCTTTGAGGACAGGCTGCTGGGTAAAATGCCGTTCTCAGCAGATGTAGAAATCAAAGGAAACCAGATCATCAAAATTAAATCTGTCAAAGAGAAGTAAAGATGGCGTCCACTCTTCAGGCTGGGCTGCAGCCACATCATCTATTTTTACTATGATTCCTTAAATCTGTCATTTAACGTAGAGGACATTTCTGATTATGTGATGTCAGTTATTCTTTCTTTCTGTGTTTCTTGCAAAT